GGATGCTGGGGACAGAACCTGGAATTTTCTGTATATGAAGCATGTACTCTGCCACTAAGCAACAGTCCAACCTTAGCATTTCAAGCAGTTAAACATGAAATGACTGATTTACAGTCTGCTTCTCTGTTCAGCCAAGTAGCTTGCAAACACTACACAATATACATCAACACACTGGAAAACTACAAACCGCAGAATAAAGCATCCTTGCTTTTATTATAAGGGCTAACATTACTTAATCACAGATAAAAACATACAACATTACCTAATCACAGAAAAACATATAACATCCAGGTAATGAAAGTGCTGAATTCTATACAGCTGCCGTCCAATATTTCTTAAATACAAATGTCATACTTCTTATATATCACAAAAAAGCCCCAACCCTATAGTAGGAAATCTAGCCCATATTCTGAAGTAGTTATGAAAGTGAAAATGATTTTTTCCTGAATCTAAACAGATGTGGGTAATCAACATGGTTTCTTATCATATGAATGAAATTCAAAAACAAACAATCCCACCTGTTACAATTTAAGCATAAACATTAAAATTAATGTTTAAGCTTACTGAAGAGCATATTGTATACTATGTCTTTTCAACCACAGCCATAACCACAAAGGGATGAAGATTAAATTAGGATTCCTACTGAAACTCTTCTTTTGCAATCTCCCATAGTTGCTCACACCCGAACACATGGCAGTCTGCATTTCACAGACATTCTTTGAAAGGTTAGGATCTACCAAGTATTTCCACTTCTTCTCAAAGTAACTTGTGATTTGATTATGATTAGTGTCAAATCTATTTATCTAATTATGTCTGTAATATCCTGTACTGTTATCATTTTTTGATCAGTACAATACATTTGTATAACATGCTTTAATGATGGCCTAGATACTATGGGTCCCATTTTTGAAAGTATTCCTAATCAAATGACTCTTTTAGATTACAGAAAATATCCTGATTCTGAAAGGCAAACTATTCCTTATTTCTTTTCTGGGCACATGGAGAAACTCTCAAACACCCTTCTTAATGCTTCCAAATAACAACTGTTGACATTTTATTAATTATTTGTGTTATCCAATCAACTAACAAGTGCATTATGAAAGAACAATACAAACTCATTCTTAGAATCAATTAGATAATCTATTTAAATTAGAATTTTTTCAAGAGTTTTTTTCCCAACATTTTCTTTACCTGAGATATATGCCTACAGTCTAAATGTCATTTAAGTATTTTTAAACATACAAAATTTTATACTTAATAGTTTGGAGAGGAAAATATTGCTAGCGTAATATTTTCTTATAGAACCATTATTCACAGTTTACAAACAGTATGCTAAAGAGATCTCAAGTTAATTAATAAACTGAGATGCACACAGTGTGGGAAGGAACAGCCTGACTCAGCCAGGGCTTGCAGGAGTTGGCTTCTGCAAATCCTATCCAATTTCCTGTCTGCGTGATTTGTATCTCAATGACATGCATGCAACACAAGAAGAATTTGCCCAACTTGGCTGGGGCTTGCAGGAATTATTTTTAAGTTTATGGGGGCTGATATCATAGGAGGTAGGAGGGGCTTCAGGGGTCAAGTCCTGCCCCTTCACATTACCTGGTCTGCTAGCTTGGTCTGGGTTGGAGTAATCTGCCCTGGATCAAAGGTTTTCCCTTCCATGATCCATTGTGTTTTATCCCACTTTTCACACAATTATTGTCTGTTAAATTGGCTTACATCAATGCAAAAGAGAAGACTGGCCCTGCCCTCATGATTACAAACTGGAAGTGGAGGAGGTAAAAGGATGAGTTAGGAGATCTATTTTTTTAAGAAGACAAAATGATGAGCTAAAAGCAGGCATTAAAATGCAGTTTTGGCCACACCGATTTTCCATTGTTGGTGTTCTTGCTTGAATTAGTGGCTCTTATTCCTTTGGCTGATGTGGGGGGGGGGGGGCAGTAGAGTACTTTTTCCCCTTAATTCTGTTCCAGGGCTAAAGGCAACTGAAGCCAAGTTTTCTCTCTGATAAGATTAAAGAAGAAAGCATTCTGCAGGTGCTCTTTATCTGGCCAATGACTGGGGGTCAGGCTAACCTTGATGTTATTCTAAGAAAGCAGGTGGCACAGCCTTCCAGTGGCCCTAGGTTCTCTGACTCTTGGAACAAATTAGAGAGTGCTTTCATTTACTCTCCAGTTCCAGGGGGAGTGAGACTAAGTATCAGATTGAATACTGTTAATATATAAGAGGGGTGTCACAGTTTGGGAAGTCTTTTTTTAATTAAAGGTTTCTGCATTAAGGGCTTAATTGAAGAATTTATCCAATAGATTTTCTGGGTTTACCAAATCCCCCCCCCCCCACACACACACACCCTTTGTGTTTAGCAAGCATGTAGAGATAGGATTCCTGCTGGATTAGTGTAGGTGCAAAGGTTAAGATTAGGGTCTGCATCTGGCTCAACAACACCCGCCCCAATGTCTCACACCAGGCATTTCCTAAGAAAATTGACTGCTCAAAGGTACACATTATATCTAGTTTGACTCGTAGAGTCATGTCCTTTTAAAGGACCTCTTATAAAATAAATACTCCAGTCTAATAAGTTTGGGACATGAGTTATATTATTGTATAAACTGCATAATTCTTATTTCTGAATTTGGAGGACTAAATGCAAGACTAATTAAGTTTAGATAAACAGCTGCTAAAAAGGTGCCAGATGCATGAAGCTCTGTAGCACCATTCTTTGGCTTCCTTTTCCAACTAGTTTCTTTTTGCGAAAAAAGAGCTTGGTAGACACGAACAACTGCAGCTACAACATAGGTCAGACCAATGCCCTTATCAACACACTTCCCAGAAGAGTTTATAATATGAAAAAGTGATTTAGGCTAGGCCAGCAGTGAGCATCACGCGATGGGCTCAGCCTATGGCAAGTCAGCATGAGCTTATTAAGAACCAGGGCTATTATGCTCTCAAATCTACCTTGCTTTGATGGAAGAGTGGTGCACAAAAGAAAACACAATCCTTAGACCTTCACTGAAATATACTGGCATTCAAAACACATCTGACTTAAAGCAGACGTTGAAGCTGTTTTCTCGAAGAATTCTTATTGAAAACATGTGTACATGCATAATTTCAGATAAGAATAAAACCAATAGTACAGCAATCTGTAGGATGCCTTTTGGACATCTGATTTATCCCAGCTGCTTCTATCTGAAATGGAAAAGTTACCAAGACTTTTCTGTTGTTCGGTTATTATCTGGTGTAATTAATTCCATTCAATTTCATTACTGTTTCAAAATTACTAACAGTCATCAAGAATAAGGATATATACAATTTATTTATTCTGTACCTTAACCTTTCTGTTCATATACTTCTTATCTTTCATTTTAGTTTATTTTCCTCCCAAAGCTGAATTTATTCATACATTTATTCAGTGCTGTTTCTAATGATTTCATTTTAAAAATGGAACTTTGCATTGCCATTGTACAATCAATATTTCCTTATAAGAAAAGAATATTTATTTGGTATTTAAAATGAATGTATGCATAAGCATCATTTGCCATTATCAAATGACACTGTATTCAGTGTTTACCTTATAAAGTTTACCCAAGAGCGATTACAACTCTCCTGGCCCTTACTTGTCCATTACAGAATCCTTTCAACTATGATGGCCTTTTAACAATCCACAACCAGCTTTTTCATGGGTAAATATTTAAACCACAACTCTGTTTTAAAAGGTCTACAGACAGAGAAAAGATGAAAGCTAGCCCTTAAATTTATAGCCAACTGGGTAATAATCAACTGCTACCAGCTTTTTGTGGTCTCATTAATATTATGAGACTTAGCTTAGGAAGTCTGTGGCCCCAGCTTAGCATTCAAAAGCAAAAATATGCCAGAGCATAAAGATTGTGATAACTTTATACATACATATGAAATATAATATTTGCCACTATCAACTGTTCAAGAGACAGCATTAGCAGGCTACAAAAGTCTATCTACTTTCAGGAATTTGGAGCATCACTAAATTCAGAATTTTATTCACATAATTAGTATACTTAATTACAAAACACCAGTTCTTCAATATTTCATAAGCAAAATCTAATCAGAAATAAAAATAAATCAGAAAGAACTGTACCAGAAATTACTTATATATACTTTCCAAAGACCTTTGGTTATTGGGTGATATAGGAATTAAATAAATAATAATGTATTATCACCAAAACAAAGATAAATAGCTTACCAAAATTTTCTTTAAAACATCCCTGCAGATATCTTTTGCAACTCCTTAAGCAATATATTTCCATTTGAAGGGGACAGTCAGCAGGTTCTGAACTGCACATCCCTGGTTGTTTTTACAAGCAGGATCTGAGTGTTCCTGTTCACTCCTTGAACTGGCTATACCATCCTTGACATGCTTCATTCAATTCCACCTTCTCACCCTTTTGCCCACCAATCAGTCAACATACCAGGCCCACAGAATATTGTCAGTTTTCACTGTGCTGTTTGGGGCTTTCCCCATCTTTCAGATTTTCTTAATAGAGGGTTTTGTGCTTTCTTGAAGGTTCCTCCAAACCTACTGATATTGTGATATGTCATTGAATTTGGCAAGTGCGGTAGCCCTAGTTATACATACGCATTGTATTGAAAGGTCTTCATGAATTACATACTGTACCCTGTAACTATTTAGATAATAAATATGGGCACAATTATCCCAAAATTAAGTATGCCAGGGATTACAGTCAGAGATATGAGCACATGTTTTGCTTGTATACTGAAGTCAGTGTTAAGTAGAACTGTTTAACATTCTGGATCATGCCACATTTCCCTGTTAGAATAAACCTTTAGCTTTTTCTTAAAAGGGTAGCTTATCATAGAGGTATGACATCAGTATCTTTTCTGATTAAGATACTTTTGCCCACAAATCAGCTTCAAATAATTGAAATTTAGCTATTCCTTAAGAAATGCAAAGGCAAATAAACCAACAATTGGTGTCACATTATTTTAATATCAAGAGCACTTACAGTGGGGTTCATCTGGAGGAGGTGGATCACCACAAGGAACACACTCCATATCCTGAAAACCTCCAAGTTTTGTCTTTCTATAGAATCTGGAAGACAGAAAATGAATCACAGACTTCAAATATATCTAGCCTACATTACTCAACTTAGCAAGACACAAGTGCCTATTTCCTAGAAAAGGTACAAAGTAATATGAGGGCAGTTCAGAAATGTACTGAGATCTTGCAACAAGTCAGAATCTGTGCTGGAAGATAAAATTCTTATCTTACTAGCCGAAGTTTGCAATTTGTGAAACAGGTTAACTTTCCTTTTAGACGTTTATTTCCAGTGCTTCTTTCATAGTGGCAGCAACCAGTTTCCCCCAATGAGCAATTCTATATCACTATGGTTTTAAGGAAAAAAAGATGAGCTGTCAGTGAGAAGTTCTTTTTCCCAAAGAACCCCCTAACAACAATGATACATGATGATCTAGCATGATTTGGAGAGAGGGGGTTAAAGGTGAAAATGCGTGCTATTAGGGAGTTTTATGCCTCTCAACTTTTGCTCCTAGCTCCTCAAAATATAGAAACATACCAAGCCAGAAGACACCTCCTGGGCCATCTATTTTGATCCCCAGCACAAGCTGGCTCTACTCATACAATGTCCAACATGTGGGGGTCCAATATTTCCTTGAACGCCCTCAATGATGGGCCTCCACCACCTCTTGTGGAAGCCCATTCAATTTCCTAGGGGTCCTAACCATCAGGAAGTACTTTTTGACATGCAACCTAAAGCCCGGTTCCTTTAGCTTCACGCCATTGGATCCTGTCCTTTCCTCCACCACAGCGGAGAACAGATCACTACCCTCTAACCTTGTGACAACCCTTCACATACCTGTAAGTCCCTATAAGATCCCCTCGGAGTCTCCTCTAAGCTGAAAAGTTCCAATCCCTCATCATCTCATATGGCATCCCCTGCAATCTGGCTATTATCCTTGTGACCCTGCGCTGAACTGAGTCCAACCTTGCTATGTGCAGCCCAGAATTGGACACAGTACTCCAGCTGTAGGCACAACAGTGTCTTATGGAATGGCACCAGCACCTCTCTTGATCTGGAAGCCACACCTCTAGCTATACATCTGAAGGTGGCGATTGCCCTCTTAAGTGCTGCATCACACTGCTGGCTCATGTCTAGCCTGCTGTGGCCAAGTACCCCGAGATCCATTTCACAAGTGCCACTCTCCAGACACTTATCCCCCATCCTGTACCTATGGCACTTATTCTTGATTCCCAAGATTGCACTTATCAGTATTGAATGCCATCCTGCTGTCCTCTGCCCACTTCCACAGTCTGTCCAGATACTTTTGGATCTGGAGTACCTGTTCCTCTGTTGTGGCCACTGCCCCCACTTTGACATCGTCTGTGAATCTGGTCAGCAGACTAGTTACCCCGTCCTCCAGGTCACTGATAAAAAGGTTGAACAGAATCGGTCCCAGAACTCCACTTGTCACTGGCTGCCATCCTGAAGACTCCCCATTGATAGTTGCCCTCTGCTTGTGGTCTGTCAACCATGCCCTAATCCATCAGATTAACCATAATGACCCCACAATTTTTGCCATGTGTGTCACATATGCCATTTTATTTCATCCAAGAATCCATCTTCAGAATTTTCCCAACAGAAACAAATACCAAAAAAAAGTTATCGTGTCTACTTGCAAACCCAGACATCTTTTTCAAGCAGCATATGCCTGAAATCTCTTCCAAATTATAACCATGAGTTCCATATGCAGCTGCATATGGGAATATTTAAAATCTTGACTCCAATTGTACTCATTTCAAGAAACAGAACCAGTTTCACATACAGTAATATCTCAGTTCATGAACGCTTCTGTTTGTGAACAATTCGGTTCGCAAACAGAAAGTCTGGCAAAATTTTGCTTCCGTTTCTGAACTCTGCATCGGGTGACGTACTTGATCGTGGCCATCTTCCCCACTCTGACATGTGGTCACGGCTTCCACCAGTTGAGCTCGTGGTCGCAGAGTCTCCCTCCAAACAATAGCCTCCTCCCCGCGACCTTCCTGTCCTCCACGCCAGAAGACACCTCAAGCAAGGTTAGTGTTCTCTCTCTTCATACTATACTGTACTTTGTTTCATATTTTTGTGGTTAAAAAAAATTACATATGGTTCAGAACAGAGTAACCTTATTTACATTGAACCTTATGGGGAAATTTGACTTGGTTTGCAACCAATTCAGTTTGCGACCAGAATCGTGAAACAAATTAAGTTCGTGAACTGAGATACCACTATATTTGACTCATTTCAAAAGAGTAGAGCACAAATATGGGTGCATGCTACGGAAATCAAAATTTAGTGTTTTTTTTTAATTTAACTGAATTATATTTGGTCTAGCACTATATCAAAATGGACCAGAGAAACAAAGGAAGTATATACAGTTTGCTGATTTTGCATCTCTGAAATAATATCTCATTCAATAATAATTAATATGTTTCTCACATAATTTAAGGCACCAAAGTAATTACTTACAAGAATGAGTGCTTTAGACTTTAAGGGCACAATCTTATGTATGTTTTGACTGAAAAAGGGCATAGGAAGTCAAAAGCACTCATTCTTTTCAGTAATTAGCACTCTTGTCAGAGATCCTTGGCTATGGGAGCAGGTACAAAAATGAAAATAACAGAAACAGCAACAGTCTGTACTGATACTACTACTACTTTGATGCCTTAAATTGAGTGGGATGCCAGGGCACACTTTAGTCAAAACTTGCACAGGACTGTACCTCAAGATTAATTAATCTTCATCAGCAGAGAGGCAAACTGATCAGTTCTTCATGGCACAGCCAAGCAAGACTAAGATAACATAGGTTTCCAAATCCAAACTATGTTATACAAAGTCTACAGATATTCCTTTGAGTTTATCTGAGAATCTTTCTTAAACTTACCCTGGCAAGCAGTCTCCACAGACAGCATTGCTCGTTGAAGAACAGTTGGCTTTCTGAAAGCGATTTACAAGAGCACAGTTCAAACATGGCTTGCACTTCTGAAAACCCCAGTCCTCCTTGAATCTGTTTGGCCTGCATGTCATACACTGGGCATCCTCCCCATATCCAAAGCCGCATTCCTGTAGGGATTAACAAGCAAGAGCATGCTATTCAGAAATTCAGAAGCATGAATAAAGGGGGACTGCAAAGATGAAATAAAGACACAGTGTAATTATTTCTAAGAATAAAGTCTGTATAGAGACAAAAGCAATCCATTCAGCAAGTTAAAATGTGTCTTCCATTACTAATAATCTCCCTTACTTCTAGAAGCAATACTTATTCATTCACTTTATTTGAGAAACCGCTGAGCATTTGAATGACAAAGAGCTCCATGGTGTCCCACTGATACATTATTAGTGGCATATGGGGATTTTTAAAAATCAAGCAAAGTATACGAAAATCTAAAATAGAATATTGATTTAAAGGTTCTTACATATAATGAAAAATTATATGACAAAGAACGTACTTATTCAGAACATTTACTTTTATTATCTCTAATTAGCAGACACTTTGCTTAATATTAAAAAGTCTGTCTAACTTGAAAGAAAATCTTTTCAAAATCATATACTAAAAACTAACATTATGTTACTTAGTCTTGACTGTTTGTATCGACTGCAAATGCTTTTGAGGAGTTTGACAGGAATATATGAAGTTGCATTGCACCGAATGAGAACATTTATCAATCTGGTTTAATATATTCAACACTGTCTAGTATCAGCATTCCAGGATTTCAGACAGAATTCTTTCCTATCCTTACCTGGAGATTGAACCTGGAACCTCCTGTGCGAAAAGGTTGTGCAATGACATGGTTTATTTAAGAAATTCATATACCATACTTCAGTAAATATTTCTCATGTGATTCACATAAGATATAAAACCATATATATCAGAACATCAATAAAATAGTATTAATAAAAGGTGAAAATATTAAAGAACAGAATAATAAAAAGAACAGCATAAATGTTTTTTTAAACATTTAAGTTTACAAGCCTGAGATGGAAAAAAGGGCTTTGCTCAGGAAATGACCTTTGTCTAGGAAAAATGGGCTTTGAGACACCAGTCAAATTTTCCTAGGAGCAAATTCCATTGGTGAAATGCCACCACTACAAAGGCTCTGTCATCACCCACCCCACATCAGACTATGAGCTGGGAGCATCCATAACACAACCTCTGAAGAGAATTGCAATGGACAGGTGGGTTGGTGTGGCAGACAACTCAATTAAGCTGTAATTTGGGGAAAGAGGGTTTCTGACAAAATCTCACCTATTCTCACATGTTTTCATGTTTATCTTGCACCCATAGTTTTTTAATCTGCTGACAGTTCAGTGCCATTAGTGGTATGGCAAGGAAACTTTAGACCCCAGGCTTGATGGTCTTACCGAAGCCCTCCTTTAGATAGCCACCTCTATTTCTCTGGTTGTAAAAACTAACACTTTTCTTTTCCTGCCCAAAGTGCTTCCAATTTATGGATACATTAGAGAGGAGAAAACCTGTTCACTTCCCGCCCCCCCCGATAAAAAAAATATCCTAAGCACTGTCACTGTCACTCATAAAGCACTATTATGCTATAGACTGTTTGCAAAGGTCCACAGTCATCAGCAGTAATACTGTTGATGGCAGGAATAAATTGGAATTTGCTGCTCCTGTGATGCTAAGCAAATTTCTAGAAAAGTTAACGTAATTTTAAATTAAACATAATATCAAGAACAGTTGTAGATGTTATGCATATGTCTGCAGCTCTGTTTCCTCCTCCTTCCTTTCAAACAGTAGACAGTTCTTTGGCAAACAGTTCTGGCTGTTATTTTCAATCCACAGCCAGCAAAGTATCGCCAACAGAGGAAGATTCTCTGATCCTGTACACAGTTCACTGAACCCAAACTAGAAACTATTTCTGAGAACCCTCCTTTTCAGTAACCCCAGGCTCAACCACTCTGAGTGTGCTCAGTTGGAGAATGTGGAATGATATCATGGGCAAAAATGTTAAAGGCAACCATTAGTCCCATAACCTTCCCTAAAATGCTGGGTGAACTAAAGGTAAGACATTTTATACGAAGTAATTTGTTTCTAAAAAGGAATACTCTGAAAAGTACATTTTACAGTTAGACATAAACTTTCCAAGTATGTTGTTTGAAAGAGATAATTTTGAAGGACAAAAAATGTTATCCAGTAATTGCTTCAAAATAGTTCCCTTTGAAATACTTGCCAAAGATACAGAAGATATGTCCTAAGTAGCACATACAATAAACCAGTTTCCTGGTCAACTCTTCAGGGACTGCAAAGCTAAAAGCAAACAAGATGACCTAATGTGTGTCTACAGGACAGAATTGGTCAAAATATATAGTTCCTCAGCAGCTATCAATGAGCGTTTCCGCAAAGACTGATATGGGCAATCCTTGGAAGGTTTGTATCCTGGGAGAGTTATGATTAATTGCAATAAAAAGAACTAACTACTTAGAGCTAAGATGAAACACAAATTACTCCCTCCAAAACTTATGGCCCTGGTTGAACGGAATAACATGGAATTGTTTGGGGAGTAAATTTCAAGGTTAGGGGAAATGGAATTGAACTCTTTCAAGCTGGTTATTGTTATTCTCAGTGAGAAAATTTCCTTCCCCATAGTGCCTACACCTACGAAAGAGAATCTGATGATAAAAACTAAAATTGTGGCCTGAGAGTACTTCATGAGTGAATCTCTTTATCCCCAAAACTCACTCTGTCAGCCCACCTGCTCCCAAAAACTTGAAACAGAGGAGGCAGTTTCAGCAATTTTGCTTTCTCTCTTGTAGCCTTAACACTTTAAATTCTGATCAAACATTATCTTTTTAGTACTTTGAGTACTTGGACCACATGAATTTTTCTGCTGAATCAAACCAAGAATCCATGAAGTCTAGACCACATTTCAAACAGTGACCAGACAGCTGGGAAATCTACCGACAGGGCATGAACACAGTAATCCTATCCAATCTGTCATTAGGATCTAGTATTCAGATCCTAAAGCATAATACCTCTGGACTTGGAGATTCCCCAAAGCTATTGAGCCTAATAATCACTGCAAAGTTAGAATTCTGTGAATTTTTCTAACCTTTAAAAAAAGAAGCTATTTAAGTAAATGCTTTATAATTTGTGTTATAGCAAATTCTTTACATTAGCTATGTGTTATACAAACACAAAGATTACATGGAGAAGCTCCTCCTCTCATACAGAATATGTACCAAAAATCCTGTATTTCCCTCCTCCTCACATATATACAGTTACTTTCTTTCCTCCGCATATAATGTTGTTCTCCCCAGCTGCATTTCTGGCTTCCTTGCTCAGCCCAAGAATATAATTGTTCAGACAAGGATCCAGCTTGGAAGATTCTGTCTGTCAACTGTTGGTATCTACCAGAGCTATTCCTCCCACTTCCTCTTTTGCTTCAAAATGGTCAATTTAAGAAAAAATCATTAAACCTCTAATGCTTCCCTCCGGCATAGTATAAGCTGTAAGGGACTTAAATACATCAAATTCCCTTCTCCCTTGCCCCTCTCCAATTACCTTTTCCCAGCACCATCCCTTCAAGATTCCATGGCTCAACTGCCTTCAACCATGGATGAAAAACCATAAAAAGCTTCCAGGCTGTCCAAATTCTATTTCCTTTATTCTGCAACTCTATACTTATCAACTCAGGAGTAAGATCCAATGAATTCAGTGACATGCCCATGAAAGTATAGCTGGCATGGGAAAAATGTATCTCCCTACCTCCATTCATTTAAAAGAATCTTTTTGAAACCTACAGCATGTCCATAGTAGCTACTGAGTGCCAAAAGGATTGAAACGAGTTTGCTTAAACACAAAACAAACTAATTTTGACTCTTCCAATGCTTCATAGTCACTACTATGACTATTAATTCCATGTTTAATTTTTGTTTTGAAAATTCATGTCTTATTTTTCAGCACCTGTGCACACATGTATGGGCACTTGTGTGCAGCCTGTGGGAGTAGTGATGTGAGGGGGGAAATGGTGTATAGGACTGCAGTCTTAGATTTCATTCCCCAGATGGAAAATGGATTCTGTCCTACAGAAACCCAGCAGTTTTGCATAAATGGGCACTGGCATATAATAGCCCATTCCCATCCCACCAAACAATGGCAAAGATAGGAGTCTTGAGTCTTAAAGTTCAATATGAACTTGGACATCCCTTTCTCAGACAAGATTACTCAAATATTTTCTTATTTCTGTACCATCAACATTCTGTTGGTTTTGGAAGTACACAGTTCCATTTCTGTATTTTGAAAATACCTTTTCCTTTCAAAAGTTTATAAAAGTATATAATTATATATAACTAGGAATCCACTTAATATAAATAAATCATTACCTTGGTTTTGGATCACCCTCTTTTGCTTCCATGCTAAGAGGCACTTAGCCACTCAAGCAATATTAGATGAAGCATTATGTAAAGAATAGGGGAGAGAACTCCATGCATGGAAATCTAAGCATAATAGATTGTTGGACTAAAATCAATGCTGGCAGTGAATATTTTAATTAGCAAGATTGCTCTGAGGCATCAAGAGTTGAAGAGCTAATATTTACCATTCATCCAAAGATAAAAGAAATAGTCAGCCAAGGGAGAGGCTTTTTCAAGTGATAGTCAGACAACCATAAAAAAATCTAATCTGAGTCATCACTCCAAGTTCTTCTCAACTACTTGAACACTGACTACTATTTTCTAAAAAAGTCATAATGACATTCAAGAGAAGAAATAGTTATCTGTCCATCAAATCTGTCATTATGCCTGGGTTTGCAAACTGCTTCCTTTAAAATCCCATTCTTTGCATGTGTTTATGCATACGGCTGTGTTTGTGTGGCAGGTGTGTCTGTACGGGGAGGTCTATTGTCAAAAATATGGTACATTCTTAGAAACAGGAATTCATCTAAACATTTTCATGTGTTCTTAAGGGACAATAACTGTGTTTATTTTTAAACACTGCTGAAATATCAGTATGAGAGAGGAATTCCTTGTTTAAAAACTCACTGACTTGCAAGGTATAGATTCAACTGAAAGACAGAGGAAGTAAAACAAGACCATGTGATTATACTGGAACTTTATAGTGAATGCAGACACCATTCAAATATATACACAGGCATTTCGGATTCACCACTGTGGAAATGAGCAAACACATACATAAACATATAGATCACACAGTAGAATTCTTTATATCTCTTACATAAAGAAATACAGTGGGAAATTCACTTCAGGAAACTGCACTACAGTTCTTTCCTGGAAAATTAAGGCTTAAGTCATATGCACATTTACCGGGGAGTAAGGCCCGCTGACACGGATGCATAGAGAAAAATGCCATCAGGAGGCCAGAATAGTCTCACTAGACTGATCTCTGAACAGGGTCACCCAAGATGGCACAGTCAAGGCTGAGACACTAGACTAAGATGTATCCACCCTCCTCAGCAATAATGGTCAAATCAGTTAAGTAAAGAATGGATCTCATTAGTGCTGATGGAAATGCAGAAACTTATGAAAGGCAGCAACTGGGCAGCAGCAGTAGTTGAAGGTGACTCTGGCAGAGGATCTTTCATCGACAATGGCTTTGACATTCAAGCTAACTCTGGTTAGTACTGCACGAAAGAAGGATGTGGATTTACCTTGAAAACCCTTTTCTCACCTTGAAAACCCTTTTCTCACCTTGAAAACCCTTTGATGAAACAATCCAAAATGAAACAATAGATAGTACCAGAAGATGAAACCCCTGGGTTGGAAGGTACTTTATGAACTACTGGGGAATGGCAAAGGACAAATACAAGTAGGACTGTCACTAATGATGCTACTAGATCAAAACCACAAGGAAGTCTACTGGCTGAAATGCACAGAGGTGAAAGGAAAGTTAGATGCTACACAACACATACAAGTGGGACATGGGACAGAAGAATGAATCAAGACAAACTAGCAATAGTAGAAGTGAAGTGAAAGCTGCTCTGAAAGTATCTGCAAAAAATAAAGTACCTGGTACAAATAAATACCAATGGAGAGATTCCAAGCTACAGAAAATGAATCATTCCAAATCTTAACAAAAATATGTCAACAAATATGGAAAATGAAACAATGGCCCACAGACTAGGAAAACTCAATATATATTCCAGTCCCCATAAACAGAGGTGCAAAAGAGTGCAGCAACCATAGGACCATTGCATTAATCTCCCACAAAAACAAAGTAATGTTCAGAATATTGAGTAAGAACACTATCCTACATGGAGTGAGAAATGCTGGGTTTCCAAGCTGGATTCCAAAAAGGAAGAGACACTAGAGATCATATTGCAAATATATGTTGGCTACTGGAATGCAGCAAGAATTCTAGAAAAAGATCAGTCCATGCTTGATAAGTTACAGCAACACCTTTGTCTGTGTGACTCATGAGAATCTATTGATGATCCTGAAAGAATGGATGTGCCTTAGTGCTTGTTTGTCCTGATGTATAACCTGTATTACGGACAAGAAGCTACTGTTAGGACAGGATATGGAAAAACACAATGGTTTCTCATAGGCAAAGGTGTCAGACAAAGATACATTTTATGGCCCAGAATTTCAACTACATGAATAGTTCCTTGCTCCATTTCCATCAGAAAAACTAGCAGGATATCTAAGTTGCATTTTAGGTTCTTCAGGTATCTCCAAAGCACAATGTTACTGCAGGGCTGATATTGCTACTTCAAAGGTGACTGAAGAGTTCTCACATCTTGTTCAGCAATAATTGAACTGGGTAGGACTGTGCTCTTACTAAATGATCAAGCTCACAGTGTGTGATGCAGTTTTGTTCCTGGATACTCAAATTACTTGTGTTACACAAAGCACCTCCACCATCTGAGTCAGGTGATCTAGGTGCAATCACTCCTGGATAGAGCTAGGATGAGCACAAATTAACACCCTGATAACCTCCAGTTAGACTACTGCAATAGAAAAGGTTGACTTTGAAAATCTATTGGATGCTTTAGCTAGAAAAAAATACAGCTGCTAGTCTACTAACTGGGACTGGTCCAGGAGCCCATAACTTGCCAGTTTTGAATAGCTACAGTGGTGGCCACTTTGTTTCTATATAAAATTTGGAGCTCTGATATTTATTTTTAAAGCCTTTTATCACTTGGTTCCTGAATGATCACTTCCCAAAAATACCTGCCTATGTACTGAGAGATCATCATCAAAGGCTTTTCACCAGGTATACATAAACTCTCAGGTTAGGTGAACAATGACCATAGAAATATTCTTAAAAGGTAATTTGTCTATCTAGCTCCAACTGCTATTTCTGGCTTAGGAAACCCCCTTTTTCATTTTCCCTAGTCTTTTATAATAGCATTTGATTAGATTTTATTCAGAAACTGTTATGCTTTCAAATTTTAATATGTCTGATTTAATATACTTGGTGCGCTATTTCAATATGTTGTTTCATCGCTATTCTTATTGCTTGTGAGCCAACCAATATAATGTTTAGAATATATACAGATTTTACTTTAGATACATTTTTAAAGAATGAATACATAATTCACCCCACTCCTGAATATCAGAAGAACTATACTATGCAGTGTAGCATAAAAACACTGAAGCAAAAAAGGTATTTTTCTGTGTGTCACAAGACACACAGAAGAATGATTAAATGCTGTTCTGTGTGCAGTTTTGACACACAGACATACTCAGAAAAAAGGCATTTTAATGAAAAGTGATAGTGTGGTAAAGAAAGAGTGCATTGTTCTTTAAGTCTAAAATCCCTTAGTAAGTTTTGAGCTTATGGGTTTTTTAAAGCAAATCTTTTCAAACCACCCAGAAACCACAAAGCTTCAGGTTTTGTATTTTCCTTCCAAGCAGAATATAGCTAAGAATGTAAGACCCACACATTTTTTTTCTGAAGAAAGGAAATCGACTAGATAGAACTTCTAAATATTAAATCTGTAACAAAATTCCTGCTTAACCCTTATAACTATAGAAAATTACTTTGGCAGTGAAAATGAGTAACACTACAGAAGTGTTTCCAAAACTGTTACTTTTGCATTACAAGTGCTGTTTCACTTCCAAGAACTGCTCAATATATATATATCTATGCATTGCAGAAAAGTATTCATATTTATTTATTTAACACTTTTGTACACTTTCATAATAGTCGCATGGCTCTCTGGACAGTTTACACAATAAATCCACTAACAAAGCATAAAAACAACATAAGCAACATTATAATAGTTACAGAAATAATAAAATCAAATTTTCACTGAACATTTGTATACCTTAGACAGTTCCATTCCAGGCCCACACTGTTCACAGAGCATACAGTTTCCATCATGGTCTCTGAACTCTTGCTCTCTACAGTCTCCTGTTTCACAAATGGCAGTATTTGACTTAAAAAGAGAGAGAAAGAAGTAATTAAAATCATGTTTAATACCTTTTTCTTCTGAGATTTCTAACAGTGCAATCCACTCATTTAATGTATCCCACTGAATCCAATGACCTAAATGAGGGTTTTCAGCAGAAGTGGAATGATTGTTACATTCTACTTAAGCAGTGGACTGTCACTTTGGTGTCTATATCTGTCATGTCTATCAATCTTAATTCTGTGTCTTAGCAATAGATTGTTTTATGTCTACCAAAACACAGTAGACAGGATTATCTAATTCAGTTAATTGCTGGCAGTTCAACAAAGCTAATGCTTCTTTTAAACCTATGTTCCAACATATGTCCAATAGTTGATACTTTTTCTAAGTTATTATATGGATATACTTTACACTGAAACAATCTAATTCATTGATGTCCACATTCTTTTAAGTCATTTATGTTGTAAGCCATCCAGAGATGCAAGTAATAGATGGCATACAAATTTTATAAATAAATAAATTATCTACATCATGGAAATTAATGAACAGTTGGCCTAAATGGATTCTCCATACTCTCTTAACAGCTAAAAGCTAAGTACTATAACACCGGAAGGATAAACACTCACCTTCTATAATACAATGGACCTATGACCTTAGAACTGTTTCAATATTTCAACGGGCAATAGAAAACACCTTCAAATGCATACTTATTTGGAAATATAGTCTGCTTCTGCTGAATTTTACATATATTGTTAGTACACTGCATTTCATATATATGCATATCATATGTATTATTTGCTAAGGATACATACAAATTGACATAGATGTATTAAAAAGCTTTCAAAAGGAAAAAGAAAAAAGCATATTGCAACAACATGAATATATATTAATTGCCTCATGGACTAGCACTGAGTTGGTTCAGACTAATCCATATTACTTTAATCCACTCAGTTTTTAAAGAGTGGATATCTAATGAATCCTGGCCAGTTATTCTGTAGTTGCCACAGATTAAGAAATCAGAACTCTTGACATTATGAAATCACACCTCAGAAGCTCTACTTTTAGACAAAAAGTAATTCTTTTATTGTAATGCATTCCAGCAATACTAAATTAATGAAATACCACATTTCGCCTTTGAACTACAAAATAATTACCCATGACATTAGTTATTTGAAGTTCAAAAGTCTGCATTAATGGCATTTATCTACTTACAAAATATATTAGAAGTATCAGGAGCTTAAGTATGAAAGAATGCAACTGTGACCATTTTGTATCCATTCCTGAAGTCTTTAAGAATTTAAGTCTGTATCTGTGAACAAAAGAAAACAATCTTAAAATATTTCTAGGATGGATCTGCACATTGTAACCTACTACATCACAAGATATAATGAGACACTAGTAATGTTGCATCTTGTTCCAATGTGATGAGGAATAAGATGGGGGAAGGGACAGAAGTGGGAGATGAAGCACCTAATTCACAGTAAACCAACCCCTTAAGAATCTGGCTTGGGTCCTGGTCACCTGAAGGAGTGTGCTTATGTCCATATATGTACTCCAAGCACTCTTGGATGAAACTGATTATCTGGACCCATTGCAGTCCGGCTTCAGACCCGGGTACGGTACTGAATCTGCCTTGGTCGCCCTATACGATGACCTGTGCAGGGAGAAGGACAGGGGGAGTGCGTCCCTGTTGGTTCTCCTGGACCTCTCAGTGGCTTTCGATACCATCGACCATGGTATCCTTCTGGATAGGCTTGCAGGATTGGGGGTCGGAGGCACTGCTTTGCAGTGGTTCCGCTCCTATTTCAACGGCCGATTCCAGAAGGTGGTGCTGGGGGACTACGGCTCTGCGCCATGGCAGCTATGCCATGGAGTACCGCAGGGGTCCATTTTGTCCCCTTTGCTGTTTAACATCTATATGAAACCGCTGGGAGAGGTCATCAGGAGGTGTGGGCTGCGGAACCATCAGTACGCTGACGATACCCAGCTCTACCTCTCGTTTTCCACCAATCCAGGTGAGGCAGTGGCTGTACTGAACCGGTGCCTGGCCGAGGTAATGGGCTGGATGAGAGCCAATAAACTGAAGCTCAATCCAGACAAGACGGAGGTCCTGTTGGTTGGCGGATCGGGCTTCGGAGAGGGTGAATTGAACCTTGTCCTGAACGGGGTTGCATTCCCTCTTAGGGACAAGGTCCGCAGCTTGGGAGTGCTCCTCAACCCTGAGCTTTCACTGGAAGCTCAGGTAACAGCAGCGGCGAGGAGCGCTTTCCTCCAGCTTTGGCTGATTCATCAGCTGCGCCCCTACCTGGAGTATGACTGCCTTGCGACAGTGACACATGCGTTGGTGACTTCCCGTCTTGACTTCTGTAACGCGCTCTACGTGGGGCTACCCTTGAAGACGGTCCGGATACTTCAATTGGTTCAAAATAGAGCTGCCAGGCTGCTGACGGGGACTGGACGTTATGTTCACATGACTCCAGTTCTCCGTGAGCTTCACTGGCTTCCCATTGAAGTCCGGGCCCAATTCAAGGTGTTGGTGATGACCTATAAAGCCCTAAATGGCTTGGGTCCTGGTTACCTGAAGGAGCGCTTACATCCATATATGTCCAGCCACCCCCTGAGATCAGTGGGAGAGGCCCTTCTCCGGGAGCCCTCCGTGAAAGAAATTAGGAGGGTGATTACTTGGAGGAGGGCTTTCTCAGCGGTGGCGCCTAAGTTATGGAATGCGCTCCCCAGAGAGGTCCGCCTGGCGCCGTCGTTATTTGCTTTTCGGCACCAGGCGAAGACCTTTTTATTTAAGCAGCATTTTAAATGTTAATATTATTGAATTTTATCTGGCCAGGGTGGCTTATTTTATATTGTATATTTGTATTTTATTTTAATGTATATATTTTAAAATGTTATTTATGATGATTTAACCTATTGTTGTAAGCCGCCCCGAGGCTTTGGCGAATGGGGTGGCATAAAAATGTTTTAATAAATAAACTAAATAAATATGCCAGCCCGCCCCTTGAGATCAGCGGGAGAGGCCCTTCTCCGGGAACCCTCCATGAAGGAAATTAGGAGGGTAAGCACTTGGAGGAGGGCTTTCTCTGTGGTGGCGCCCAATCTATGGAATGCACTCCCCAGAGAGGTCCACCTGGCGCCGTCGTTATTTGTTTTTCAGCGCCAGGCGAAGACCTTTTTATTTAAACTTTATTTTAATTGTTAATATTATTTATTTATTTTATTCTTTGGCCAGGGTGACTTAATTTATACTGTTAAATTATATTGTTTTATATGATGTTATTTAATTATGTTTGTGAGCCACCCCGAGGCTTCGGCGAATGGGGCAGCATAGAAGTTCCCTAAATAGATAGATAGATAGATAGATAGATAGATAGATAGATAGATAGATAGATAGTTCTTATCTGGTGGCAAATTACTCTGCCTGGCTCTACTGCAACATGGGGTGAAGGAAGAAAGATATCACATTATTGACTGTTCCATCCATTACACGAATAATCTAGATGACAGGAAGGAGATTCTTAATATAATCTTCTCCTTGGCATGGTAATTTTCTGTGTCTAAGGAACATTTTTGTAAGAGGTATTTTTAGTTATGTGTTAAACCTTGAGATGCAGATTTACTACCTCACTGAGAATAGGACATCTCCTGGGTGCCAAAGAGCATTCAACAGTTCCTAGGACTTGGTAGTGAGTACATCAAAAGGGAATCACTCTCTGTTTTTACTGCAGAACATGTATTTACCAGAAGAAAAGTAATGTTTGTTTTGGGAAGGGAATCAAACCATTCTAAACAGCACAGAACCCATTATCTTTCCAGTCTTAGAAAAGAACTTGAATTGTAATATGAAGGTCTCTGTTATACATAAATCATGTTTGTAAAACATAAAAATAGTCTCCCTGATGCACAAGGTGAGGGTGACATGCTTCCTTGGCTTCAAAGGTAACTTTATGATCCAGCATTTGACCAATTATTGGCACATGATTAATTTGTCTATAATACAAACTGCACTTCTTAGTTAAAATAGTCCATGTAGAAGCCCTTATGATCACTCTTAGCATGTTTTTCTTCACCCTTATTAGAAGAACAATTATTTATTGTTTGTTGGTATGTTATGGTTGTTTTTTCTTTTGGTAAGCTGTCCAGAGACTGTGGTATTGGATGGCATATAACAACTTTAAATAAATAAAATAAAGGAGTGAGAACAGAATCTTTCTTTGACCTGGATATGGTTGTTTAAAATCTGTTAATTGTAACAAGGTTAAACTCCATTTTTCAAGTCAGTATCATAATACTTATTCACATGGTACCAAATTTATATTGGTCTGACTTTGAAATGCATAGAATTACTTACACTGCAGCTGAGACATAACTTGCTGTAGATCTGAACAAACACATTTAAGTAATGCTTTGACTCCTTGATTTTGAAGCATTTTCCAGCAGAGGTGAACAACTCATGTATATTTAGAGCCTAGCCACACAGGATTGTTATTCTGAGGATAAAATAGAGCTATGGAAGTTGCCTTGGGTTCCTCACAAGACGAAAAAAGATGGGATGCAAATGCAATGTAATAACAATAATTCATCTTCAAGAAAGCCTAACTCCTCTATAAAATCTTACTGTTGACAGATGGTCCATGGAGTAGCAACTAAATCTGCAAAGTAAATTATACATTTACTTATCTAATCCTATTCAAAGACTTGGACTGGTTTACAATATATTAAAAGCATCACTCAATAACTTTAAATAGAAAAATAATACCTATATGTCATCAGGCACTTTCCAGATAGCAGAAAGAAGGGTAGACAAGGTGAGGCTCCTTCAGTTGGCTTGCCTAGCCAAACTGCTACATGGCCTCTCCTCTCTGTATCTACATTACTGATCAATCATACTTTTCAGGCAAATGAGCTTATTTGGGATTTTGAGACAGTGTTGTAGGCACTCTCCTAAAATGGTCGCCATGTTGCCTCCCCATCATAAAATGGTTGTCCTATGAGCATGGCCAGTCATGATATATTTCCCAGATGGTAGGCCAATGAGGTGAAAAGAAAAGCAGCCTCCCCAGTCCAGGACAGAGGTGGAGGCTGAGCTTTACAACACAGTACTCTTCTGAATCTCCAAAAAGAAGGTGCCTAAGAACAGCTCTTCACTTTGCAGTATGCAAGACTCTCAATGAAGAAGTAATTATTTACAAAAATTGCAAACAAAAGAAAAGTCAAGAGAGCAGGCATAAGGGTATGTAGACACTACTTGGGAGATCCTAGCTCTGGAGGGGGCAGGAAAAGAAAACAAAGCAAGATCCATTCAACTGCCCTGCTTTGACTTAGAGTCATGTCTTGAGAGTCAAGAAACAATGTCGGAATATAAATATGATAAAATAAAGACATATATTGCCTGTCTACCTCTGTACCCCATTATTCCTAGTTAACAAAATGGAACAAAGCAAGCTTCCTTAAAAGCTATGTGAACATATTTTTCTGAAACCACACTTTTAAAAAGGTTTTTTCAACTGATTTTTTTCCTTATGCAACTAAGTATTTTTTATATTAAATGGCAAATCTAAAGTTTTTCTAGCAACATTGCCAAACCCAAAAATAGGAATTTTGTATTCTGGAATTAGCCTTAATTTCACATGGAATGGTTCTAGACTAGTCCAGCATATCTGTTAATCAGCTCTGCTGTAAATTAGCTGATTGCTTCCTTTATACAAAGAAGAATAACTCAACCTCCAAGATAGTGCGATCCATCAAAAGCTTCTGGGATGAAATTTACAATCACTGCAATTTCCAAAGGCTTCTGAACATCTGGATATTTAGTTTCAGAGAACTTGCACAACCTAAACTTCTGCAGTTACGCATTCTCATCTGAACTTTCTTTACCCAAAAACAAAAAAACAAAACAGAACAAAACAAAGCCAACCACCTCCCAGGAGACAGGTCAGCTAATATATGTAGAAACAGTATCCAGCAAAGTAAGCAATAAAATTTTTGGACCAGACTATGCAGTAATAATATGGTACTTTTCACACAGAAAATTAGATTAAAAATTAAAGGAGTTGGAGCATACAAGTAACTGACTGACTCGCCTGGAAGCAAGTCTTGAATGAAACAAAACCATGCCAACTGCATATTTCCTGTTTCTGTCTCCAGTTTAAACATTTCTGGCTTAAAAACAGACATTACTGCACTTAATAATAGGCTGCTATTGGGCAAATTTGTTCTCTGCAGCTATCAAATGGCACTGTACTGATGTTCACTGGAAACAAGCCATCCAGTCTATCCTTTTCCTGTGTATACAGAGAG